TTCATATTTTTTCCTATCTATACTCGTTCTTAATTAAAAGATAGCATCGTCAATTAGTGAGATCTCCAGTTTCATAAATCTATAAGTCATATAGGTAAATCAGAACGAATCTCATTTGTCCGTCAGATAGTATACCCGCATAAATTATAACAACCATAAGATTACATTTATTATTGTACGTATGTGTTCAACTTCCGTGTCGCATTCTACTTGCGTTTAATGAATGAATTTAACGTAATACACTCCATATATGCGTAATGTTCCAGAATTACAAATTTAATTCATTAATAGAATTATGCATTGCAAGAAACACAAAAAATGTTATTTAATTTTAGAGTATCTCGTTTCACCTGTTCTTTCTGTTTCACCTATCGTGTAAAGTACAGGGTACAAATTAATATAACGTTAAATTAATATTACTCCAATGCTGAATAGTCGAACTCATTTATAATTCATACTAATCCCACTAGAACCGAACGATACCAGTAAGGAGTTAAAAATATCTGCGTCTCATTACCAAAAGCTCCCTCAAAAAACGAAGAGAACCGTTTACATTCTAACCTTGACTAGACCGCGTATCTACGTAGCCTTATTAAAATCTTTTCATAAGTTCTATCGACTATAACTAACTCTCGGGCGTTTATTTCTGAGATACGCCTCGTATATGCAGCCTTTACCTTTTACTCGCTTCGCCTTTGCACGAGAAAAAGAAAAGAAAAAGACTGTCACTCGTTGGACGTTTTCATTTCTCCTTACGAGTGCTGTTTGCCACGCGAGTTCATCCTCGTTGATGCCCAAGCAAAGTTTTGCTCTATTAGTAATTTTGAGGCACCTCGCGATTCAATTTGCAAGCATTGAAGAGGAGAAAACTGGGCGGAAATGCAAGAACAACGCGCGGAGACACGAAAGGATCGAAACAATTATCTCCGACAGTTTTTGCGGGGCGCGAGACGGTGGATGAGGCGGAGGGGCAGAGGGTGCAGGAAGGTATCTTTCTCCGAGCACATGCCATCCGTGCGCAACATAATTCGCCAAAGTATCCGTTAATGAGCATCCAACGGTAATTCATTACATAGTTATTCTCGCGATGGCTGGCAGCCTTGTTCGTCAGAGCAACAAAGCTGGCCCCCTATCCACGCAATGCATTCCCCTCGAGAATGCATCGCGTCGTGCACCTGTGCTGCTGCTGCTGCTGCTGCTACTACTACTGCTGAGACTGCGGCACCGTAAAGCGTGGAAACAGAGAACGAGAGAGAAAAGACGGTGGGTAAACGAATGGGGGAGAGAAAGAGGCGGAGGAGCCGGAGCAACGGTAGTACCGGTGGAGGAGGAGGAAAAAGAGGAAGAGAACGGACGATCCCATGCGGAGTAGCACGGGAAAAGGGAAAAATAGAGAAGGTGAGAGAGAAAGAGAAGGGGAAAGAGAAAGAGAGAGAGAGAGAGAGAGAAAGAGAGAGAAATGGAGTGAAAGAGGACGTGCGAAGGGTAGAGAGGATAGGAAGGCTTCACGTAGCACTTTTCCTTGTATTACTTAGCCCAGGATATAACCCACCGCGGCGTCGGTGGTGCCTATATCTCAGCCGAGGAAAACCACCCTCCGTGCGCGTATCTCTCTCCCCTGCCTTCCCGCCCCATTCCACCTTCTCTCTGCCACACTCTCTCTCCATCCACCTTCTGGCAGCCCGTTCTCCCTCTGAGCTGCACGTCCCCTCGCCCCCGTCAGCTATCCACCCTCCTAGTCCCCGACACACTCTATGTTCTCCTCTGTTCTCCCCCGATTCCACCCACCAACACCCACTACCATCCACCCGTTTTCCTTCCTCTCCTCCTCCTCTTCGCCTTGCACTCTCTCTCTACCCACATCCACCCACCCTCCTCACCTCTGCCTTCATCCGTCGTTCCAACTCACC